TGCTGCCAACTCATAATTTGTTTGAAAGAAAATCATGTTTTGATCATCGTCTGCAGTGATTTATTTTCAATTATATTATTTGACACGTTTCTAGAGGCTAAATGAAGTTTTCAAGGATAAATTAGGAAAAAGAGCGGTAGATTTCGAGGTGTTTATTGTTAACTGTTGCCAACTTTGATTTTATTGAAGGCGTCTATTTAATGGATATTGAAAGGAAGACGGTGTTTTGGTTTTCGTTTGAGGTGTTTTATGGTTTATTTTTTTGTTGATAGGTGTGGTAAAAGTGAAATTTTCGAAAAGTGCGGGAGTTTTGCAGGATCAGCGAACAAACAGCAGCGCACCAACAACCGTCGGCGTAATCAACAAACAGCTTATAGATCAGAGTCGGTTCTGTACTGCACATTTTTGTTTGCAGTATTTCGGTTGGTGGTGTGTGCGAGAGAGAGTCGAACGCAGTAGGGAATTCGTCCTGCAGATAAGGATAGTCGGAGAAAGGGAGGGAAAAAAGCGGCAAACGAAGAAGAAGGGATTTGTTGACGCCGGACGCCGTTCGTTTTCCTTTTGTTTGTTTGTTTGTTTTTGGCGCCCGTTCGTTCAGTGTGCAGAGTTGATCTTGTTGAGTTGGTGGTGCTGTTGCTGCTGCTGTTCGTAATATTATTATTATATTATTATCGCTTGAATGCGAGACGACACGCGTTTCGCCGTCCGCCGCTGTTTGTCGCTTTCCTCCGTTCGGGTCTGTCCAGAGTTAACCCCAAGTTGGAGCCGAGGATGAGCACCAACAAATCCAAGCAGGGTAAAGAAGCCGAAGAGTTCACAGTGGAGAAGATCGTCGACAAGAGGATTCAGAACGGCGTCGTCGAGTACTTCCTGAAGTGGAACGGTTATGGGGACAGCGAGAACACCTGGGAACCCGAAAGCAACTTGGACTGCCCTGAGCTGATCAGGGAATTCGAAGCGGAGTGGGCGAAGAAGGACAAGGAGGAGAAACTCAAGAAACGGAAGACCGCCGGTAAGAAGAAGCGTCACCGAATCCTCCTCTCTCACTTGTTTCAAACAAAATTGCCATTTTCTTTTTCCGTTTTGTTTTTTTTCTATTCCCGCGATTGGTCGTTCGTTGCATTGTTTACCGTGAAACGCGACACCCTCTGCGATTGCATCATTTTAATAATTTTAACACCCAATTAATAACATATTTGTTCCCTTCAATCATCAACAACAACAGGTACACCCACAATGGAGCAAAGCAACAAGAAGAAGAAGGAGGAGAAGAAGCATGGCTTCGATAGGAAACTGATACCTGAGAAAATTATTGGTGCCACTGATAGCTCCGGTGAGTACAACCTCAAAATATTTAAAAAAACAAATCTAACATTGTTTTGTCTTTTTTTTTTCGTAGGGCAACTGATGTTCTTGATGAAGTGGGAGGGCACAGACGAAGCTGACCTGGTGCCATCGAAGCAGGCGAACATTAAGTGCCCCCAAACAGTTATCAAGTTTTACGAAGAGAGGTTAACGTGGCACGGCCCCAGCACAGACGAAGACAAACCTGATAAATCTTAATTCGGAGCGCGCCCCCCTCTCACAATCCCCAAAACTGTTACACAAAAGAAAAGGATCGACATGTTTTTTTTCTTCTTCTATATTCCTTTACCACCCCCCCCCTTTTTTTTGTTCATGAAAAATAGTAATTAGGTTATATGTTTCTTTTTTTTGATTTCGGATGATTCTAGTTTGAGTTGACTTGATGTTTAATTCATTTTTTACTATTAATGAATTTGTATAATGTAATAAAATCTATTCGGACATGTTGTGCGTGCGTGCATTTTTGGGACAAAAAAAAAACAAACTATGAAAAAAAAAACTGCGTGTACAAAACATTTCTCTCGTTCACTCGCTTATTTTTTAATAATAAAATTTAACATATTGTTTTTCTAAAAAAAAAACAAAAACCCGAGCAGTTATTATTCAATGATCACCATGGAAACCCAAGTATTTGACACTAATGATACAAAGCCAACTTTTAGACTTACTGAGTTCTAAATGAATAAGTAACAACAAAAACTACATACATACGATTAGCAAATTATTATTAGTACTGTTTCGTATTAAGATTATGTAATAAAAATATGTTTTGAAATTGTTGTTGTGTGTTGTTCATCAAGCAATCCTTGTGCCTCGTTTATTAATAATAAAAATTGAAGTTCTTATATTTTCTATAAACTGTGGCGTTTCCTTTTTGTCCTCAAATTGATTCTGCAAAAGCGTACGGATTTTTCTTGTATTTTTATTGAATGAAATCTGTTATAAAGGTCATTTGGATTTGCCCGTTTTGTGTATGATGTTCTGTATCTTCTGCCATTCCCTGTCCAGATGCGCCTTCTCGTTCTTGTCCTTGTGTTTCCGCGATCTCCGCCCGTCTGCCATCTTCACGCCGTACTGGAAAGCCGCCTTCGGCAGCGCCTCCTTCTGGTTCATGTAATCCGAATACTCTTCAGCCGTGTCGAAGTCCCACCTTCCGATCGGACCCTTCTTGTTGCCCAAATCCATCTTCGAGTAGTCCACCTCGTCGTCGGAATCGTCGATCGCGTCGTTCATCTCCTCCAAGCCGGGGTAACATTCCGCGTAACCTTCTGGTTCTTGCGCCAGTCGATTCAAGATCGCAGCGGATTTGTTCACCTTCAGAGACGGACCGGAGTTCTGCAGCAGATCCTCGTCCTGCTTATCGAAGTACGGCTGTCTCTTGCGATCTTTTCCGGAGTCTTTTCCTCGTGCGTTCGGCACGTAATCGCCTATGTCGCCGTAGATCGAATCGTCCTGCTTGCTGCACTTCTTCTGATCCGGCTCATCCGCTTCGTATTCTTTACGATCGTTTCTCTTCGTCTTCTTGCCCTTCCTGTTGCCCTGCCGCAGGTAACTCAAGATCTGCGTCAACTTGTTAATGACTATATCGTTCGTGGTTAAAGTCGTCGTAGATTCTAAAGAGGGAACGTCCGCAATGGAACGGATCAAAGTCGTCGGTATATCAGTCTCGGATTCGTCATCCAAATCGATCACGTACGCCATCCTCCCAGTCGAGAACAACTCGATTCTATCTACATGCTTCGACTTTAGACTCAACACTGTCTGATATATGGAGCGGCCGATTTTCGTTTTAAACTGCATCTCCTCGTCCTCCGGCTTCTTCACCAAATCTTTCTTTTCCTTCTCCTCCATCGTCTTGTTGGCCAACCGCTCCAACTCGTCCTCCTGTTCCTGCTCCTTGTGATGTATCTCGGAACGCACCTTCTGCAGCAACGCGTAATCCAAACCCTTCACCAAATGCGTGTGCTCCATGTCACCACCCAAGAACTTGGATTCCTGGATCATCTGTCTCCGGCGTTCGGCCGCATCGAATCCCGATTTCAAGTCAGGAGCGACCGCTCTGTATGCTTGCGCCGTGTTCATGGGGTCCTCGTTCTGGTAGTCCGGGTTACTGCCCTGCCTCCTCTCGCTCGCCCTGTCCCTGTACTTCTCCGCAAGTTCCGCCATCTTCGTGTCCTCCTGCTTCTTCAGCTTCGCGTAAAACGACTTCTTTTTGCGACGCTCCTCTCCTTTATCGCTCTTCGGCGGAGGCATCGCTCCAGCTGGATTGTTCATTGCCTCCCTGATCGACCCGGGGGCCGGCGCCGATGCAGGCGTCGACCTGGGGGTCATCAGGAGCTTCCTGAAATCATCGTTCGTCAACCTCTGCGAGGCCGGCGTATCACTAGGATTCGGCATCTGCAAAAAACAGCTCAATATTAACAAACTAAAACTTAAAAATATTATATAAATGTAAAATTTCAAGAAGTGAAATAATATCAAACAGTTTCAATGAAAATCAAAATAATCAAGCAACAAAATAACATTTGTTTTTATTGTTGTCAAACAATCTGCTGCCACTGTCATATGTTCTTCCCGAGTGCAAATAGTTTTATTTAAAATTAAAAAGAAAACAACTCTAATGAACTTAAGATTATAAAGCAATATCATTTGTTTTCATTATTGTTTTAGGAAAATTGTAAACAAATAAACGAATCAAAGTTTAACCTTTTTAAAGTTTCTACAACAGTTTTCCAAGTCCTGAAGAAGTATATTATTATTGCAAATATATCTTACCTTTATCCTAATTAATTGCACTTGATTTAATAACTAAGAACTAGTTTTTCATAGCTGAATACACCATAACCACAAAAGTCATCAAATGTCACTCGTAGGGGTCTGAGGGGGACAGCAATTGGTAGTTAATTCAATGGTCGCTAGAGGAATAAAAATGGAAGCCATGGAAGTGCTGCCACTACAACGAATCAAGACCATTCGTTATACCAACGTTAGAAATGTCTGCCAAATTAACAAAAATAAATATTTGAATTTGTCTTCAAGTTTTATTTTTTTGGAGGATAATTACGTAATTAGACTGCTACCTTTTCGAATGAGCCCACTGAAACAACTCTAGCATTGATATTTCGATTTACGAAATGCCTGAAAAGTACTGAAAATTTGCACAAATTAACGCTGAAAGTCTCACTTTTCCAACAACTTATCAAAAGTTTTAGCGAATTTCTAATTGGATTTTGTTAAATTCACAATTTGGTAGAACGAATTTCGTTAATAATGCGAAAACGAATTAACTTTTTTTACGATTTTATTTGCATATTCGTGTTATTCTGATTGAGAAATTTGTACATAAATAAATTCAACTTTGAAATGCGATTAATGTCAAGTAAACGTTTGTTCTTTGAAGAAAAAAAAAAAGGTCAACAATTGAAATGTAATTAACTGTAGGACGTGATGAGCATGCTTAAAACACAATTTAATTGTGTGTTTGGGAAATTTATTGCTCATTGTAAAAAAATGCTTACGGTCATAACGATTGTACTTGGAACGTCCGATGTTTGCAAATTTATTAATTAATAATTTTTTGATCATAACATTTTGATGAAAACAATAATTTTAAACGAAAACAATGAAATAGAACGAAAATTTAAGGAGAAATGTAAAATAAAATATTGTTTTAATCGTAAATTTAAGAAAACTTTTAAACAAAAGAATACAGAGAAACAAACAAATGAAATATATAGATTTAAATTGCGTCGAGAAAGGTGAGAACGGTGGAGTTTCGTGGTGCAATTTGAAATTTCAATGACGGACGTTGTTTGTTTACGAATTAAACGAATCTGGCACAAGGCGTTGCATTCGTCGTAAATATATTTAATTCATTATATAAATGGGACTAGATTTTGTACAAAATACAATTGCTTTTTTATTTTTGATATTTTCAGCGATTCGAGTTTGATGCGTTGCTGCTGATGTTTGCCACCTGAAGAGCTGCGCCGTAGAGAAGCGTTGCTATGCTACCAAAAAGTTCAGTGATGTAAACACCGATCGCAGCAGGCGTGTATTTCGTATCGGAATCTTCCTCTCCTTCTTCTTGATCCAAGAAAGCCTCGTCCAAATCTTCAGGTTTCGTGTTTGTGTTATTTTTGAGAGAATCGTCTTTGGAATTGTGAATTTTGCTTTCACTCGCTTTCAAATCGATGCTTCGCGCCGTTTCCACCAACGAGTTGTCCATCATCACTGGATACAGGACTATCCTTTGAGCGTCTTCGGGTCTCATCACTTTGTAGACGTTGCTGGAGCTCTGCACCTGATCGACTTTGTTCTCGAAATCCGCGTCGTCGTTCTTCTGCGCTTCCTCTTCGGCCCCTTGGAAATTCAGAGAGTTTCTCAACGCGGAAAAGAACTGCAGTTTCGTGAGGATCTTCCCGATTTTCTTCTGGATGAAACCGGGAGTAGCTTCGTTCTGAGTTTCCTCTTGTTTCTCTGAAAAATCAAAGATTTCGTTTTTCGTTGTCGTCCACAATCAAATTTGATTTTCTTTTTGTTTGTTGAAATACCTGTTTTCTTGAAGAACTCATACTCTTCCGCCTGCAACCTGCTCGCTTCTTTATTGTTATCCTCGGGAACGCGCAGATCTTCGATGTTCGATTTGTCTTCGGCTTCGGTACGCGACGAAGCTTTGAACAGAGAGCTGAGGATCGTCGAACCGCTGTTGTAAAGGAACGGCACCGCCGAAGAAGTCTTCATCAACTATAAATCACACACAAAAAAAAACATAGAATCACTAAACTCTGATCATCTTCCTGCATTCTTACCGTTGTGGTCACGATGAAGCACGTCAAAAACAAAGCTAATTTACTCATCTTGGTAACGGAATTATCTGCAGTTCGAACGGAAATAAACCGAAGCCGGAGTCTCTACGCAGCTTTAAACACGATTCCCCGCCAGTTCCGACGCGATGAAACGCGCGCGTCTCCTCCTCGTTTCAAGGGCTCAAGCCTTCTCGACCATCAAAGGAATCACAACGTTTCTAATCCAGATATCTTATTTACAAAAGTTAAGCAATTGTTTTCAGTTTGATCTTACTAAAAACAATCTGCTTAACTCTCGTTGCCTAGCAATTTTTGATCCAGTCCACACAACCATCATTTCTAGCAAAACAATATGTTTATTATCTCTAGTTGCCTAGCAATTGTTTGTTATTGTTTTTTTTTTTCAAGCGTAGAATTAGCAACGCGTTTGGACGGGATCTGCATCGTCAATCGGTCGCGGTCGCTTCTTGCATACCGAATTGTCGATTACATAATTCCCTGTCCATATTCGTAGTCCTTCGGCACATCCGATGCGCAGAGGTGAGACCTCCACGATTTGGAATTCGCATCGCTTTTTGGACCTACGTAATGTCCACAGCAAACCTTAGCCTGCACGATCTTCCTAGAAACGATGGAATTACGCAACGACAAATCTCAATTACAATAAAAAATATCATTCTAATTCCTTTTTTTTTTTGTTATTTACAAAACGTAGAGAATTCTAATTAATTCATTTTTATTATACAAAAACTGAATAAATGGTAATTAAACCAACAGTGTTTTATGTAAGAAATCGTTTACATCACCCATCCAAGACATATCATCTATAAGTATCGCTTAACTGTTCACTTTTAAATTAAATTCAAGCAGCGCCAAAAATGCTGAACTATAAATGTATTTCTAACACACACGTTAATTGGGTTGCCTAATTTCAATTAAATTTTCTTCTGAAGCCATCTCGCGAATTTCTTCGAAAGCCTTAAGTTCAAGCGATTTGGCGCTGTAAATCTTCGAATTTTGAAAATTTACTTGCATTCATATACTTAATTCATGAATGTTTATGAAACAACAATTAATTAATTAATATTTATTAAATTAACATTATAATATACATACAAAAAAAAACATAGACTGTGGAGTATTTGACAAAACTCAATTAAGTTACACTTAAATAAAAAAAAAAAAACGAAGACTATTATTCACTAATCACCGTAGACAATTAAATGGCCTACTATTAAAACTTAAAAGATTAAATTTATTTGTATTCTCCGGTCTCCTTCTCTATTTTATATATCACTGGAACGTTTGTGGGGTGGTCAAAATTGGTGGTAGTTGTTGATCAAACTCCGACTTTGCATGGGGTCATCTTCAGAACGTCGACCTCGAACTTCTCGTACTCTTTACAGATGGAAGTCTTGTCCTGATCCGCATCGATCACGATCACAGGCGCGGGACAGTGTCCGATCGTCTTGTCCATCAACCACTCTTCGTGGACTTTGTGCAGATCCTGCAGATATCCCAAGGGGATTTTCTTCTCCTCTTCGCGACCCCTCGTCTGCATACGTTCGTACACAATTTCGGGTGAAGTGCGGAGATACACTGCAAAAAAAAACAATTAGTAAACTTGAATTTAGTCGCGAATATGAAAACAAACCGATGAAATCCACGTCAATTTTCGTGTTCTCTAAGCTCCACTTGAACCACTCATCCAGAACAGCAGCAGATGGCTCAGCGATGATCTTATCCTTCTTCATTTGCTCCACGAAGCAGTATCTTCAATTTAAATTTAACAAATAACTCTTGCGTTTATTAACAGACAAATTACCTGGCACTGTAGATGGATCTCTCCATCAGCTTAACAGAGCATGGTGTCGGAAGGGTGTGCTGCTGCACCATTGTCAACATAACGTACGATTGGAACGAGAAGCTCCAATGTTTACTATCCTGATACATCAAACCCTAAACAAAAATAAAGTAAATCACACTTATGACAACACATTAAACAATTACTCACCAACAGATTGTTTCCATTGCAATTCCTCCACATATCGATGGGTTCAGCCAGCACACACACATCACTGTAATCTTTGAATCTCTCCAGAAACGTAGTCTTTCCACTACCAATGTTGCCTTCCACAATAACATTCAATTTCTTCCCTGAAGCGTTGCTCATTTTCGCCGATTTTCTTAACGAACTTTTCGAAATTTGCGCTCCGGTCTGAGCAAGCTTCTGCAAGTTTTGGCGCGCAGCGTTCATCTGTTTTCAGGTTAGTAATTTAAATGGAGAGGACGCGTGGGGCGTGTTCTAACGTTACGTAAAATTTGCGCCATTTTACGAAACCGTACAACTTTCAAACGCTTCTTTCTCGATGGAAATGCAGTTTTAATAGACGATGAATCGTTCATTTTGATGCGAATTTAATTACGTGCAAATCGTTTCCTCGAATCTGACCGCTACAGTCAACGAATATCGAGATATACTTGGAAATAAGCTTCAATGTGAAGTTTTGAAGCGTATAAGATTTCTATAAGATATTTTGAACTTATTGAATTCATGAAACTGTTCAATATGAATAATTTACAAGTTTAACAAGTTGTTTGTAAAGTTTACTGCAATTGACGTAACCGTAAGATTGCCTGTAATTTCAGTTTAGAAAAGCGGTTGTCAAAAGTGACAATTACCAAAATTTGTCCAATTTTTTTTTTGTTCGTTTTTCTGTTTGAAGGAAGATGGAATGGTTCGGTGTGACGAAGTACGGTGCGTCGGATCCGATCAAAGACATGATGCGATCCGATTACGAAGAGCCGACGGTGCAGAAGGACCTGTTCGAGGCGTGGAAAGCGGGACTGCTGAAGGGCAGCTTCGTCGAGTGGATCAAAGAGATCGACATTTACATCGGACAGGCGGACGGTTACGCGTACAAATCTTACGATAGGCTCCTGCGGATGAGAAACAAAGGAACTTTCAAGCCGGTCGGGCCTACCGAGATGTACAGATACCGGGGATGCAGTTCGATGGCGACGAGCTGGTTCTTGGACGACGACGCTCTCAAGAAGGAAACGTGGCATAACACGAGAAATCCATATAGATATTGAAATAAAACGAAAGAAACATGTAATATATATAATTTATATTCATATAAAACACACTTTGATCCGTAGTAGTAGTAGTAAAAACACGCACACTATAATATAATATATTAACATTTCTCCTTATTCATTTAATATCAAATCTTCAATTCTTTTTTTTACGTATATAAAATATAATGTTGAAGGATGCGCGGATGATCATGATGATGATGAAATTTCGATTTTCGAGAAGTAAACGTTAAATATACATAAAAAAGACATATATATGTACACATAGATATGACACACTTTTGTATTAATCGAGGAATCTGGGCTTTGAAACAAAAGACGAATAATTATCGCTTTTGTTTTTCGGTCGGGGAGGAGGGACTTTTGCAGGAAGGAACGTCTTGATTGACGCGAAGAAACTTGTTATTTTTTTTTTGGCAACTTTCGTTTTTTGTCTCTCGTCACTATTAGCAATATATTATTATTATCCTTAATAGTTATGTACAAGGAGTTTCGCGGAATGCACGGAACTTATACGTATTTACAAAATCCATTTCCGGTTCACGTTCAAAATTTACAAAAAATCAAATCAAATCAAATTCAATAGTTGATAATAGAAATTTCATCATCAGCTTTAAGAAAATCAACAATTTTCAGCTGATTCATTGATATGATCGATTACTAAATCGTTTATTAGTATTAGGATATAGAGTACATTATAAAATGGAAATTAACTAAATCAATATTTTCAACATTGTCAAATTTTTTGCAACGTTAAGTATTGTTATATCTTTTCATAAGTTAGTGATATGGTTGGTGTTTTGTTTTTTTTTTTGTAGCATGCTTGAGTTATTAGCGAAACCGGAAACGGAAGTAAATTGAAAGAAATAATTAAAAAAATCGTGCTTTACCTAAACCGAAGTTGATGTTCCGTGCATCGTTTTGTGCGTTTCGTTTTTTCTTGATGAAGAAGTTAAATATGAAGAAAAATTTGAGTTACTTCATCCAAAATTTGATCCAGTCGCCGTCGTTTTTGGCGACCAACGTGTGGGGGCAGCACTTGTAAGGGTTCGAGCGTTTCGGCGACCAACGTGGGACTCGTTTAGGATGTTTTTCCGAAAAGAATATGGGATTGCTTATTGTCACTATGTGATCTTGGTTTCGAAGAGGTCGCCGTTCGGGCAGGCGGTGCTAACAACAACCGTGGCCCGTTTCGGTGGCCTGTCCAGACTTCCCTCCGCCCTCCTCACCTGCGGAACAACACATTTCCTCTCTATACTCTTTCGCGAATTACGTTGCGTCGCGTTGTTCTGGTCGCTCAGATTGGTGCTCTGCGTCTTGTTGCCCAGACTCGACCGCGACGTCAGGCTGCTCTGACTACCTCCATCCAATTTACCTGAAGACGCCGTCTTCTTCAGGCTTCGCTCCCACGTCAGCGACGGGTCGTGATGGTTCTCGAACGTCGGACAGACCGTCTGCGAATCGCCGCTCGTGTGCGACGACTTCGAGCTGTGACCGTACCTCTGCGGATGACCGTGACCGTCCAGAGTGTGAGTCTTGAAGTAAGCACCTGCGCACAACACAACAACAATCAAGAAAAATTTGGCTATACGATTGATCCATTTGACTGAGATTCGTTGATTCTTTACTTGACTCTCGATTGACTCATGCTCTAAATAAACTGACCAGAAGAGTTACCGTTCTGCTTCCAGACGCGCAGACGGTGGCTGATCTCCCCGAAGCTCGGTCTCCTGATGGCCAATTCCGCCCAACACTCGACCATCAGAGCGTAGCAGTAGCTGGGACACGCGTCAGGACACGGCAGCAGCTTCCTCGATCGGATCATGTTTATCACCTCCTGATTATTGTACCCATAATACGGCTGAACATACGAAAGTTTCAGAGTAAAGTGAACACACTGTTTCAATAAAAAAAATCTTACCTGAAGGCCGTAACTGTATATCTCCCAGAGGACGACTCCGTACGACCAAACATCGCTCTCCGTCGTGAACTTCCCGTAAAGAATCGATTCCGGCGGCATCCAACGCACAGGTAACAGACTTTTCGATTGCACCCTGTAGTAATCGCAGCTGTACATGTCTCTGGACAAACCGAAATCGCTGATTTTCACAACCAGATCTTTGGAAACGAGGCAGTTCCGTGCGGCTAAATCGCGATGGACGTAGTGATTCTCCGAAAGGTATTCCATGCCTTGCGCGATCTGTATGGAGATGTGCAGGAATTGCACCTGCGTCAGACACTTTCCGTCGTTCGGGGAGTTGGCGATCAGGAATTCGTGCAGATCACCTTCGGACATGTACTCGAAGAGCATGCACATCGGTTCCTGCTTCATCACCACCCCGAGCAGACAGATGATGTTAGGATGTTTCAGCTCAGAAATCAACTCTATTTCGCGCTGAAAGTCCGCTTGCGTCTTCGCGCTCGCGTTCTCTTTCAGAGATTTCACAGCGACGAAGGTCTTCGTGCCTTTGGCTCTCAGCTCGCCTTTGTAGACTTTACCGAATGCGCCCTCTCCGAGTTCTTCAACGAAAGCTACTTCTTTGTACGTGTATTGCGGCACGTTCTGGAAACCGTTCTTCGGGTGGTGAGTGCGTAAAGGTGGAGCGGTCGGAAGCAAAGTGTTCATCTCCATCGGTGAACTGGGACCTCCGTTTCCGTAAATGTTCTTATCTGCTGTTGGTATACTCATCTAAAATATAAATAAATTCACTATATTTTCACCTATTGAATAATTAAATAACTTACGTTTCTCAATGTACGCGCGTTTTTGTTTTTCTTCTTGCAGCAGTAGAACATCAGAGCGAAGACTGCCAGAGTGACGAAGATCAGGGCTCCGCCGATGATGTACATCCAAACAATTTGAGCTGAAACATATCGAAAGCGTAAATAAAGCGCTGACACGAACGTGATTCGCCGCAGGATAAACACAAATTCATGTTCAATCAAGATTTTAAAAAAATTGATGATTTTTGTATTATGGATAATTTGCATTCGGTAACAATTAAAATTTGTTATTTTACACTATATAAATCTTAAAAGTAAATTAACATAAACTTACTGGAAATTAAATGGCGGTACATCAAAATAGTAACGCTTCTTTTATGACAATTTATAAAATTTCATATTTTTTCAGATTCAGAAAATTTGTTGATTTATATATTAAGTACGATTAATTTTGATAATAATAGAATTTTGAAAGTCTATATTATATGAATGTTAAATGAAAATTGAAAAAACCACAATAGAAAATAAATGGCGGTACATCAAAATAGTAACGCTTCTTTTATGACAATTTATAAAATTTCATTTTTTTTTCAGATTGAGAAAATTTGTTGATTCATATATTAATTACGATTAATTTTGATAATAATAGAATTTCGAAAGTCTATATTATATGAATGTTAAATGAAAATTGATAAAACCTCAATAGAAATGGAATAGTGATACATTAAAATAGTAACGCTTCTTTTATGACAATTTATAAAAATTTAATTTTTTTTTGCGATTCAGGAAATTTGTTGATTCATATATTAAGTACGATTAATTTTGATAATAATAGAATTTTCAAAGTCTATCTTATATGAATGTTAAATGACAATTTATAAAAATTTAATTTTTTTGCGATTCAGGAAATTTGTTGATTCATATATTAAGTACGATTAATTTTGATAACAATAGAATTTCGAAACTCTATATTATATGAATGTTAAATGAAAATTGATAAAACCTCAATAGAAATGGAATAGTGATACATCAAAATAGTAACGTTTCTTTTATGACACTCTCCAAAATTTACTTACAGCATTTCTTTATCCCGCAAATCTCCCGTTTATTCTTCTCGACATAGCAATAGGGCTCTGACTCGAGACCTCCGGGATTTCTGCAAGAAAGAAACACAAAATTTTTTATAGAAAAGAAAATGCGTTTGAAGAAAAAAAAATAATGATGATTACCTGCAGTAATTGTGGCCCACCAACTCCGGATAATTCGCTAAGGAAACGTGAAGATGGTGAGCCCAGCGTATGCATTTCGTGTTTGTTATGCTCACATCCAGCACTCCTCTATATAGTCTCCCGTTGTCCCAGTAACATTTGTCGTCTAAAAAATTGATAAATTTTATTCGAAAATTTTGTAAATAATAGTTTTTTAACTGACTTTCATCAATATTGTGCTGATCCACGTCCAGTTTTAGGCAGTAAGCGGAATTCGTGTCGTCCTCTTCAGGAAGTAACTCGCATTCCTCCAAATCCAAAGTACCTGAATGAATTTTATGTAAACTTACGTAATTTGATTATGTTAATATGATTTACTCACCTATAACTGGATGTCTTTTTGCTATCGAATACTCTAAGCGGCAGAGTTCAGTTTCCAGAAGGATGCAATCTTGTCTGCAAATTCTTTGGAGATGCATATTGGACATGTTTCTTAAGTTCTTGTAGGTTTTGTTCTTCTCGAGGACGTTGTGCTTGTTTATGTAGTACTGCTGGTAATTGTTGGTCTGCTCCGGTTCCGAGCAGATCGGAAACGAGGAGTAGCATAGCGTGGGAAGGACGAATTTGTTGCAGATCGAAGACACATCGCTGAAAGAAACAAAAGAAAGTTGCATTTTGTTTCTCAATATTTGAATATCCTGTATTATAAAGTTAGACAACCAGAGTTGCTTAAATTTGAAATAAAGTGTATTGTGTTTGCTTACTTGGACTGCGAGACGACGAGGAGTGCGTTCTCCAGGTTCTCCTCGATCTTCTCCTGGGTGAGAGGTGGCTGCACGAAGACGTGCCGATGGGCGAGGAAAGCCCGACAAGCGGTGCCCTCGTACGGCTGACAGAAGGGTTGACTTCGGTTGTAGACGGCCGGTGGTTGCGGTGGCAACGAGAGGATGCGATCGGCGCCGAAGGGGGAGGCGGCGTCGAACAGGTCCGGATTGTGGACGGTCTGCTCGTTGATCGAAGGCAGGGCCGGATTCGGGATCGTCGAGAGGAAGTCGCGGCTGCCTTCTGCGTGAGGGAAAGAGGTCGTTAGTCCTGGAGCGGCGTCTTCGTCGTCGTTGCCGTGGAAACCAAACACCGGCCTGTACGTCGGAATATCACCTGTCGCGCCGCCGTTCGCCGCCCAATTGTCGATCACCTCCACGAACGCCGAAGAAGCGATCTTCTCGGAGCCTTTGCTCGCGACGCACGTGTAGAAACCGCGATCCAATCCTTCCAACTTCATTATCCTCAGGACGCTCACGTGCAGTTGCTCCTGATGTTTCTGCAAAACATCGACAGTTACATTAACATCAATACTAAAGAGTGTGTCTGTAATGCTACAATGACGACAATTGAATTAAAATTACTAATTTTTATTTGCGATCTGTCAAATCTGACATGTTACACTTGCAGAATTTGTGCAGAACGATTTTGACAAAATGGTGACAGATGCGTTGATTCAAAAGTGTGTCTGTAATGCTACAATGTGGACAATGGACAACTGTCATATATATTCAAATTTGAAATGCTCTTGTCTTTGAAAACTGTCAAATCTGACATAACAATTTGTGCAGCACGATTTTGACAAAATAATGACAGATGCGTTTATTCAAGAGTATTATAATACTTGAATACATCAAATATGACAGCCAAAAATAGACAGCTCAAATTTAATATTCAACTGTCACATTTGATGTATTCAAATTTGAAATGCTTTGCCTCTTGTTTTTGAAAACTTTCAAATCTGACATATACAAAATTGTGCAGAACGATTTTGACAAAATAATGACAGATGCGTTTATTCAAAAGAATGTCTGTAACACTTGAATACATCAAATATGACAGCCAAAAATAGACAGCTCAAATTTAATATTCAACTGTCATATTTGATGTATTCAAATTTGGAATGCTTTGCCTCTTGTTTTTGAAATCTGTCAAATCTGACAGATAACAGTTTGTGCAGCACGATTTTGACAAAATAATGACAGATGCGTTTATTCAAAAGAATGTCTGTAACACTTGAATACATCAAATATGACAACCAAAAATAGACAGCTCAAATTTAATATTCAATTGTCATATTTGATGTATTCAAATTTGGAATGCTTTGCCTCTTGTTTTTGAAAACTTTCAAATCTGACATATACAAAATTGTGCAGAACGATTTTGACAAAATAATGACAGATGCGTTTATTCAAAAGAGTGTCTGTAACATTTGAATACATCAAATATGACAGCCAAAAATAGACAGCTCAAATTTAATATTCAACTGTCATATTTAATGTATTCAAATTTGAAATGCTTTACTTCTTGTTTTTGAAAACTGTCAAATCTGACAGATAAAAGTTTGTACAGCACGATTTTGACAAAATAATGACAGATGCGTTTATT